AAAAGCCCAAAACTGAGCTGACAAGTGCTTGTGCAGCCTGGAAATTGTTACCAGGAGCTCCTCCTGGAGGATCCCACTGATTCCTGCCAGGGAGCCAGAACAGGCAGTCCCTGACATTTTGCATTATTATTCCTATTTTTCCTGTATTTGTCTGTGGCCTGTCATGTGCCTTCTGCAGTTCATGTGCTCTGCATGGTTCTCCTTTTAATTGGGTAAATTAAAATGGATGAATTCTACATGGCAGTTGGGTGTATTAATTTTTTAAATCCTATTTCACATTATGGCATCCAAGAGGGATTACACAGGCTTTAATTTTTGAATGGCAGGTTTATGGCTTTTCATCTACAACTCTTCCCCTTTTAATAATTCCAAAAGCAGCTGAATCACTGTGTCTTTTTTTTTTATTATTATTTTTGAAGCCTAAATTTGGCTTTTAGTGGGATTTTTTTGGGATCAATATCTTGTTTTGCTGTTTGTGGGGGGCTCCAGGTCAGTCATCCTCTAAAGCCAATGTCCAGCATTATTCTGGTTATCAGCCTTGAATAGGAGGGTGGGAGGCATAAATTAAGGAATATCACCTCCAAGGTTGGGGAATGTTCCCATCCAATGGCACAAGTGAAATTCCAACCATTTCTTCTGCATGTTTAAGCACAAAAGGAGACGACCCCATCCCAGACCTTTCCCTGCTGCTGCTCTTCTCCCATCACTCATCATGGAAAGGTGAAACAAAACCCTGTGGAGCAGGACCAGGGGTGAGGCTGTGGAAGTGGAGGAGTTTCCTCCTCACCCTGCTGTTATTGCTGTGCATCTTCAGCATTGTAACTATTGCCCAAGAGAGAGGAGGATGATGAGGGTGATTTTCCTTTTCCTCCTTTGTGGGATCAGGTCCTTCAGGGGCTCCTCAGCAAAACGTAGACCCAGGGGCAGAATTGGTGTTTCAGCATCGCTGGATTTGTGCCAGTTCAGGTTTAGGTGGCTCATTAGCTCATTTTCTTGGAAATGTTATCCCTGTAGGGAGCTTGGCATTGGTGGCCCCGGTCCTCTGGCCATGGAGAGCTTGGTGTGGCTGTCACAGTCCATGCTGGCAACTTTTGTTCCTCAAAACAAATTTTCCCTCTGCTCAACTGCATCCTAAAATCTTCCCATCCAAGCAAAATCCTTCTGTTTTAGGAAACCAAGCAGACCTGGTGAATTCAGTGACCAGCAATGCCCTCCAATGACATTTTTAGCTTGGTTGTCTTCAGCTATCTCCATTGGGAAGCAGATGAAACCAGAGCTTTGCTCTTCCCAGAAGGTTGGGGTGGAAAAAGGGATGGTGTGGCAGCAGGTGCTGAGATGTGGGGTCACAGCCCAGCTGTGCTGGATCTCTGAACCCTTTCCTTTGCTCCATGGGGAGCTTCCAGCTCATTGATGCTGGAGAAGAGCTGGTCTGTTCCTCTGCTGATCCACGAGTTCAGATCTCATGGAACTGTGGATGTGAAAGAGCAAACAGAGGGTTGGGAAGCACCTTCCTTCAGGATATCACAGCTCTCTTTCTTCTTCTTCCCTCCAGACAGGCAGGATTGACAAGTCCTACCCCACAGTGTGTGGGCACACGGGGCCGGTGCTGGACATCGACTGGTGTCCCCACAATGACCAGGTCATCGCCAGCGGCTCCGAGGACTGCACTGTCATGGTGAGTGTCCCTTCTGGGGTGGGCTTTGCTCCTGCTCCAAAGGATGCTGGAATCCCTGGAGGTGTCTCCAGGAACCTTCTGTTCTGAGGTGAGGTGAGGGCAGAGTGGTTATGGAAAGGTTTGGATTGGAAGGAACTGAAAGCTCATCCCATTCCAACACCTTCCATGGTTGCTCCAAGCCCTGTCCAGCGTGGCCTGGGACACTTCCAACATGTGCCAGGGCCTCACCACTCTCACAGGGAAGAATTTTTTTTCCATTTTTCCTTCCCCTGGGCATTTGTTTGATTGGGAAGAGGAATGAGAGTGCCTGTCTGTGGTGAGGTGCTCTGATTTGTTGAGCTGTGAGAAGACAGCTGGTTCCTTACCTCAGATATCCCAATGGGTGTGGAGGTGTGTGTTGGGAAGAGGTAGGGATTGAAAGGGAATGAGGTTGGGAAGAGGAAGAAATTGGAAGGGAATGAGCTCAGCTCACTGGTAGGAGCAGGGCATGGATGTGAGGAGCCCAGGGATCCAGGGTTGGAAGGTTTCAAGATTGCTTCAAGATTTAAGGAAGTGAAATTTCCCCTCTATCTCCAAGTTTTGAGCAGATGTCAAAATGTCTTTTTTTAAATAAATAAATAAAAATAATTTCACAAATTCTGCACCTGCCAGCCTTGGATTTAGACCTGTTCTAAGTCAGTGATGGCCCAGCCGGGCTCGCTCCGTGACGGATGTGGAATCCCACGTATGCAAACACAGCAGAATAAGTGAAAGAAAATCCTTGGAAGATGAAATAATGCCAAATAACTCCAGGGATCTTTGGCCATATTTAGAAATGCTGTAGGCTGAATGTTATATTGAAATCTTATTATAGATCATGTCAGATAAATTCTTTTGCTTCTGTTCATCGTTAAAAATGTTTGGGAGGGGATTCATCCCAAGAGGCTTTTCCTGGGACAGCTCTTGCCTGTGATCTCTCAGTCTTGGAAGCTGAAACATGTTAACAAAATGGGCTATATTTAATATTAAACAAAACAACAACTTCTGTGTTAGCAACTCTCACTACTGGGCTGGAACGGAGCTTTGGAAGGATGCAGGAATGTTTCTCCCACCAGAATGGAGAAGGGCTGCACATTGGGAATGTTTGTGAAATGTGAGCATCAGTGAAGGGCCAGAGCTGCCTCCTTGGAGGCAAAATAAGTTTGTAATCCAAGTGCAATGAGAAATATGTTGGGAGGCTCCAAGGGGACTGAATTGTGGAGAAAAACTGACAGAGTTCAGCTGCAAGTTGTCCAAGTGGACAAACTCTCTCCCTCCCAAACCATCCCAAACCCACTGTGTCCCTCACACCATCCTGATGGGGACACAAACTGCAGGGATCTGCACCTCCTGCTGGACTCTGGGGGTTCTCCACACATCCCAAGGTGGGGATGAGCTTCCCATCCATCCCTGGAGGCAGGAACCGTGTGGGAAGGAGGGTGGAGCAGGGTTGGGTGGAGCCCTCTGGGGGTTTTGTGTTTGGTGTGACCTGTGTGGAGTGGAAGGGGAAATAGGTGAGTCCTTGCTGCACTTCCAGGGTCAGGGATGTGCAGGGTTTGGGAGATGCTGGGTTGTGTTAGCTGGAGGTTTGGAATGGGAAGTGATGGATCCCAAGTCGTTCAGGACAGTTGGGAACTGCACATCCCAAAGAACACCCCTGGCTTGGACTTTTGGCAGTGAGCTAATGAGCTTTCCCTAATTTTAATTGCTTTTCTGGCTTGGCATGGACAGTTCAGTGTCCTTTTTTTTTTTTTCCTGGAGAAAGGGTTTGTGTTCTGATTCCTGGGCAGAATAAACCCAGGGAGCTTTGCAGGACACGAGGCTGCTCGTGGGCTCTGAGCTCTGCTGGGGGGAGGCACAGAAAGTGACGTGGGGGATTCTGTGCAATTCCAGCTGCTGGGGAAAAAATCCTGCTTCTTAAAGACCATCTGTGCCCCTGGCACTCAGGGATTTAGGATCTCACAAGAAATCTCAGCTACGTCAGCCAGACGTGTATTGAGGGGGGAGAGNGCGGGAATTCATTAACCCGAATTCATTTCCCCATATGCGGGATATAACCCGTGTGTGTGCCCGAATGAGCCCGTGTCACCCACGTCCCCAGCTCCCCCGTGCTGCCGCGGGTCTCTCCGTCCCCTTGCACCAATGGCAGACCCAGGGCCTGCATCCTCTTCCCTCCCTGCATCCTCTTTCCATCCGCGGAGCAGCGCGGCCGAGCCGGCTTTGCTGCCTGTGGAAATGCTTTGTGTGAGCTTCCTGTTTTCCTGCACGCACATGTGCAGGGGCTTTGCCAGGAATCGCCATTCCCATGCTCCGGCAGGAGCTGCTGAGCATCGGACAATCTGAATTCCCACAGGTTGCTCGGTCTGGGGGTTTGGCCTCTGTTGGAATGAGCCACATAGTTTGGGAAAGCTGTAATTCCTCCCGGTCAGGGTTGTGGAGGTGATAAGAGTCAGGATAATCAGCGTTATTAGGGAAGGAGCTGGAAACTTCACTGCTTGTTCTGGGCTGTGGTTGGAGAGTTGATTTTCTCTGAGGGAAAGCTCTGAGTACACAGGGAAGGTACCAGATAAGAATTCCCTGCATTTCCTGATATGTTGGGCAAGATGACTTGGAAACACCTGGATTCAAGGGGTGGTTCTGATGCTGGATGTGTGCTCCAGCAGAACTAGAGAAAAATTTCTTTTTTCCCATCCTCCAAAACTCTTTGCAGTTTTTATATCTGCGCAGAAAAACCTGCTGCAAATGTTCCTTTTTGTTTGAGTTCACGCAGAAGGATCCATTCAGCCACGAGCTGTGTTACATAAGGCTTTTACCAGAGGTTTATTCAGTCCCTTTTGGATATAGCTTTAATTAGATTTTTTCCATTTTCCTGATCCCTTCCTGCACCCCCTTCCCAGCAGGATCTGGGATCAGATGGTGCCCTCAGAGGCAATTAGCATGTGGGTGGGGGCGTGCACACCTCGGGAATGATCTCCTCCAAGGAATATGTTGTTCTGCAAGTGACAGGCCTTGGTGTTCATCCATGAGAGCTGTTCAGCAGCTCTTCCCAATTCCTATTCCACCAGGAAGGATTTGAGGGAAAGAAAATCATCATTTTCTGAACTGTGTGTAGAATAAAACCAGGAGGTTTTTGCTGTGATGGGTTTATTTGAGCCTTTCCTGCCATTTTAGGGAGAGTGTGATGGATTTTGTCCTTTTATTTCACCTTGGATTTTTCTCTATAAAAAGAAGTTTCTATTTATCACTGTCAGCTTGATTCCAATGGATCATCAGGTTCTAATGCAGTAGGGAAGAGAGGGCAGCAGAGGGGCTAATGGATCTCATTCCTCCAGGGAAAAAAAGCAGCAAATTCCATCCCCTGTTTTACAGCCAGAGGTTTGTACAAATATCTCTGCATTTTTAAGGTTTTGTCCAGTAATAAAAATTGAAGTTTTACTTGATGGAGCCCTGGATCATTTGTTCCCAGCTCATGGGGATGATTTTTGTGGATCTCTGTGAATCCTTGTGGATCTTTGTCTCCTTGCCCAGCAGCTCTGCTCTCTCTGGGTGGATGCTCATCCTCTGAACAGCAGCAGGATTTTTCCACTTTTTCCGGATCCCTCAGTTTCTGGGATACCCATTGGCTTTCCTGCAGTTGGGAAGGAGCAGGGGGATGAACTGCTTTGGAAATTATATTTTAGAGAGGGAAAAAAGCACTGACTCTGTCCCTTTTAATTGTAATGTCATTTCTGGGACAGATATCCACGGGAATGCTGAAGCTGTGCTGCACTTCTAGTGATGAGATTTTGCAGGTTGGGTTGGTTGTGAGGGCTGTTTGTGTTGGTTTTTGGGATTTTTAAATTTTTTTTAAAAGCCAGCACGTGTCCATTCTGTGGCAGCCTGGGATGGAATCACAGAATCATGGAATCCTTGAGGTTGGCAAAGCCCTCCAAGCTCATCAAGTCCAACCTTTGAGCAAGTGAACCACATCACAAAATGCCCCAACTTTTTGTGTTTTAACATTTCCAGGGATGGTGACTCCCCCACTTCCACGCTTGCCCACCCCTTCCAGTGTGGAAATTTTCCCCAATATCCAATGTCACAGCCCTGCAGCTGCCAAGGTGCCAACAGGAGCACTGCTGGGGGATTCTTGGAGAGCACAGTGCCCTCCTATTGCCTGACTTTCCCGTGGATCTTTAGGGAATAACACTTCCTGATCTTCCAGATTAGTTCAGGATGCCTGATGGCTGCTGGGCATGGGCAGGAATTTCCATTTATTTCACCCCAATTTTCTCCCAGTTGCCTCCTCCAGGCCCAGCTGCTGCAGCCAGAGATGGAGGCTCAGTGCTCAGAAGTTCCCTGGATAAAATTCAGGAGGTTTTTTTTTAGGAAAACCCCTAATTTAAAGAAAATAGTATTTTCTCTAGCAGAGAAAAGGTGCAGGGGGTTGGGGTTTCAAACTTTGCAGTTGTGACCTGATTTCCTTCCTCAAACTTGTGCAGAGTGGGGGGGGGGAGCTGCTTTGGCTTGTGCAACTCGATGCCACTTCCCTAATTTAAATGGAGATTTCAAGGAGCACAGCCATGGGCTGGGGAAGCAGCTGTTCTCCCTGATATTTTTACCATAATCCATGAGCTGTTTCCTGCCACCAAATGCCCTTTTCTGGCACAGAAACGATCACAAGACACTCAAATTAATTCATAAAACTCCCACTTTTAGGAACACTTTTCTTGTGTTGCTTATCCATCCCTTTTGGATTTAATCATAATTTTTTTTCTTCTCATCTGTCACTTTTTTCTTGGTCTGTGTTTAGTATTTCTATGATTTAACTTTTATTTTTTATTTAATCTGGAATACATTAGATACATTAAAATTTAATTTTAATAATTAAAATTAATTTAATAAGAAAAATTTGCCCCTTGCTGAAACACCTAAATATTGAGTGTGTATTCAGTCAACACCAACTTTATGAAAAAATCCTCAAATTCACCTTTTTGACCAAC